GGATGTTAGCTCAGGGCTGATCTTCCTCACACACACATACACACACACACACACACAGACACACACACACACACACAAATATATATATATATATATATATATATATATATATATATATATTTTGTTCCAGAACGATCCACTTCTGGCTACACATAAGGCACAAAGTTATCAAAGACCAGTCATGCTCTCATTTTCTTTTGTGCTCTGTGGGCCTGACATTAGTCTGTCTTTGATCCCCAAGGGGGTGGCAGGAAAGCAATGCTTTTTTTCGGCTTTCAGTGCCTAAAAAAAAGGCACTCCATGGAAGGGAATATATTTTATTGATCAATGATTAGTGAGTCTTTTTGTGACATGCTTTGTATTAAATACAATTTGAAAACCTTCAAAGGAAGGCTTTCAGGAGTTACTAAGTCACAGCCTGTCGGCATGCCCCCGAATGTGGCCAGAAGCATTGGAGCAAAAAAATCTCAATGCGTGGCCAACTTTCTAAATTCTTGGGGGCACATAGAGATGAACCAGTTCAATTTTCTACTTGTGTTTTCATTTCCATTGCATTTCCTGATGTTGAATATATTTTCTCATCGTAGAAGCACTTGGCGTCTGGGTACTCGGCTTATTTTCCAGTATTTCTTCTGATCAAATCAATAGTCCTCTACTTATACAGTCTATATGTGGTGGAAGGAAAATCAGAAATGCCTAATGTGTCTCCTAGTTCATAATGAAGCCTTTAAGAATCTCACCATCCATGAATAATGTATTATCCATGATGTTAACTAGAACATACTCAGCTCCAGTCTCTTTTAGGGGTTCTGTAGGTTCCTTCTGGATGCAGGGGGAAGATGGCACTGGGGGAGACCGCTGCACACCTCTCCCTGGCTTCCTCCCTTCCAGGAAGGCTGAGAGAAGGCTTTCTTCTTCATGGTGCTAGTGAGAACGTGGCAGGTGGAGCAAGCACTGTTAGTTTTCCATCTCGTGTTGGATTCATTGACACCTATAGCCCATATGTAGGATGAATGTCTTTTACCTTGATGCCAAAGACTTGGGAACAGAGGATGATAACCTTTGGAAACCCATATGTTTTTCCAGACCCCTTAGCATGTTGTGGTATCAGGAAAGAGCCAGGTTGCTCTACCAGATGACACTTTTGCCCAGGCTGTAGCTGTTCTTAAGTCGCTTTATAATGAAGCCCCGCTCTTTTGTGGTCTTAGGGAAGTTACCTTAATTTTCCTGTGCCTTAGTTTTCTTACCTCCTTGAATTTTAGCAAAGATGCAGTGTCCATTCATCTAGTAAATATTTATCAGGTTCTGGGAATACAGTGGTGAATGAGCCAGCAAATCCTTCCTTGATCAGGCTCACAGTCTAGTAGGGCCAAGGCAATTAGAGACTTTTCAGAAATAGTATTGAGGGGCCGGCCCTGTGGCGTAGCGGTGAAGTGTGCGCGCTTGGCTGCTGGCGGCCCGGATTTGGATCCCGGCGCGCACCGACGCACCACTTGTCAGGCCATGCTGTGGCGGCCTCCCATATAAAGTGGAGGAAGATGGGCACAGATGTTAGCTCAGGGCCAGTCTTCCTCAGCAAAAAGAGGAGGATTGGCATGGATGTTAGCTCAGGGCTGACCTTCCTCATATACACACACACACACTAAAATAAAAAAATAATTAATTGAAAAAAAAAAAAAGAAATTGAGATACAAGATCCACATGTAGGTGATACATGAGGCCAGTAGGAAATGAATTCAAATTGAAGTTAAGATTCACAGTATGAGAGATGAGCCAAGAATCTGTGAGTCCTTAGAACCCAGCAAGGTGAACCTGTGTAACTTGCAGGAAGTATGACTCAATTGTGTCTATAATGAAGAAGGCTTAAACCAAATCGTCGGAAGAAAGGATGTGCCGATGTATGCTTCGAAAGAATAAAAGGAAAGGCAGTGAGAAAAACAACACAGCACCCTGCCAGGCCTGTCCTGGGAAGAGAGGAGGTCATAGACTTTTGACATTGTCTAACTACCATCGCGTAGAGTTGGGGGGAAAAAAGACAAAACAGGGCTTTGGAGATAGACAGATTGAATTTGAATCCCAATTCTGCCACTTCTTTTTTTTTTTTTTTGTGAGTAAGATCAGCCCTGTGCTAACATCTACCAATCCTCCTCTTTTTTTGCTGAGGAAGACTGGCCCTGGGCTAACATCCGTGCCACTTCTTATTAGGCGCTTGGCCTTGGACAAGTCACTTCAAATCTCGAAGCTTCAGTTTCTTCATCTTTAAAAGTGGGCTGAGGGGCCGGCCCCGTGGCTTAGCAGTTAAGTGCGCGTGCTCCGCTACTGGCGGCCCGGGTTCGGATCCCGGGCGCGCCCCGATGCACCGCTTCTCCGGCCATGCCAAGACCGCGTCCCACATACAGCAACTAGAAAGATGTGCAACTATGATATACAACTATCTACTGGGGCTTCGGGGGCAAAAAAAAAAAAGGAGGAGGATTGGCAATAGATGTTAGCTCAGAGCCAGTCTTCCTCAGCAAAAAAAGAGGAGGATTAGCATGGATGTTAGCTCAGGGCTGATCTTCCTCACAAAAAAAAAAAAAGTGGGCTGAAAAATAGCGGTTCTGTGTATGTGCCTCAATGCCTTCCGTGGAATATATATTTAGCAAATCTTAGCTCTGCTTTAAGGGATGGAGCTCAGATTTGAACCCAGCAACGTCTAGATTCTGTTACTCCTGAGACTTGAGCATGCCTTTTTTTTTAAGATGAGAAATAAGATAAGGAAGAGCTGCATGTTAATTGTGTTACTGCTCAACTGCTAACTGTTTTGATATGTTGAACAAAGTCCATTGATTCTTCGTGGAGGAGTGCTTGCTGGAGAGTGTGAGTCAGGCATCTGCCTTATTAACTTGTTCAGAAGCTTTTTGTGGCAGATTGATTTAAAAAGCCCCCAACAGAACAGAGGATTTTATTTATAGAAATATTGTCAGGATGGCATTGAGATTTGTGTTTGGCTTTCAAATCATGCAATACAAGTTGAGTAAAGGCCTTTTCCCTGACAGACATAAGAATCATGATGTTTTAGGGAAGTACTCTCCATCATCTTACACGGCCTTGCCTGGGGGAGGTGATACTCACCTGGAATCCTCTTGTGACCTCTTTCAGCACGTACAGCTTTCTTTTCTAAGGGTAAGGACATAGGCTTGGTATAGGCAGTTGGTGAAATCTGGTTACTAGTATTTTCTTTTTTTTTTTTTTTTAAATTTTTATTTATTTATTTTTCCCCCAAAACCCCACTAGGTAGTTGTATGTCACAGCTGCACATCCTTCTAGTTGCTGTATGTGGGACGTGGCCTCAGCATGGCCGGAGAAGCGGTGCGTTGGTGCGCGCCTGGGATCCAAACCCGGGCTGCCAGCATCGGAGCGCACGCACTTAACCGCTAAGCCACGGGGCCGGCCCTGGTTACTAGTATTTTCAACCTACAGGGTTACATGCTCTCCCTGCATTTCAACGAGGATGGGTGTGCCCAGGTGGGCCTATGTGGATTTCCATCCAATGGTTCTGGGGCAAAGGACAAATAGAAGAAAGTTGCCAAAGAAAAGAGGAGAGTTTCAAAAGCAGGCCCCAGATTTATATCCTCCAGTCTAGAAGGAATGTGTGGCCCAAGTCCCACATGGAGAGAGTTGCAGTGTTCCTTCCTTCTTGGTGTTTTCATCCTCATTTAGATTCAGTGCTGTAACATCGGGATCGGTTTCATAGAACAGGTTTTGAGTAGATTCCTTGCAGCCCTGAAAGTCACACTTCTCTGAAACTGGTTTAACACCAATGCAAAGCTCACTGGTGCTCCTGTTCCATTTTACAGCTTTCATCCACCCCTTAATAAATGACCTCTGTGGAGAAAGAAGAATCACCAGTTCATTGTGCAGGAAGGTGAGGCCCTCAGAAACGGCCACAGCTTATTCAAGATACGCCCCCTTTTCAGGAGGCGCATTGCTTCACCAGAAATCCTTGCTATAGGCAAACTTCTTAAAGGGCCAGTGAGTAACTACTTCTGGCTTTGCAGGCCGTATTTCGGCTTTGCTGTCACAGTCATTCAGCTCTGCCGTTGTAGCTCAAAAACAGCCATAGACAATAGGTTAGAGGAATGAGTGTGACTGTGTTTCAGTAAAATTTCACTTACCAAATAGGCCACTGGCCTGCAGTCCCTGGTTTGCTGACACCTGCGTAGATCATCAATAAACCCCTGTACCCTTGTGAGTATGAAAATCATCTTTGGAGTAAGAAACTCATTTGAATATAAGTATATATATGTTTAGAGAAAGAGAGTTTCCCCCCATTTGCGTATCACAATGTTTTCTTACAACTTATTTAATTTTTATATAAACGTTCCACATTTATTTCCTGAAAATTGGATTTCTCATATATGCTTGCTAAGGGTACCCATGTTTGATATGAAACAAATTGATTGATGATGTTTGAATTCCTATTCACTTTGAAGTTCATTTTTACATGCCAGTGAGGTGCTCAGCACCATGTTTCATGTATCTCTTCTTTGTAGCAAATGCAAATGCAAGTATGAGGTCCCACAATTCCTTAATACCACGGAGGTGCCATCTCAGGCGACTCTCTCCTAATCCTAAGGGACTCTCCATGATTCCCCCAGGAGAAGTTCTCCTGGCTGTTTGGGATGAGACCAACCTAATACGTAGGGCTTTGTGGCATTGTGAGACGCTGGCTGCTTTATTCCTTTCCCACAATTTACACTTTCTCACTATTAAAACCTCCTCCGCTCCTCTCACAAGAGCGTGCAAGCCGGATTTGCCATATTTTCAGTCATCCTTCATTGCACATGAACATTGGCTGCACCCTAAGCTTGGCTGTGAACTGATTATTCTCACCAGGAGCTGTTAACACAAATTCCATCACTCCTATGGCTAAAAATAAACCATATTTAGCACTTGGAAGCAAAATTCCAGGCAAATATATAATCTAATTTGATTGAATCTTTGTTGAAAATGTTAATGGTGGAATCAAATGCTTACCTTTGAGATGGAAGATTGCATTTCTTCTGTGAGCAGGTGGATAGAAATCAATTCCACCTATCAAATGATGTAATCAGAGAGACTGATGGATGCCTAAGCATCCAAAATGACACTAGTTCATCTTTTTTAAGGGCATTCCCCCCCATTTGTGGTGCACCGCTATTGAGGATCAGTCTTCTCTTTAAATCATGCTGCTACGTTGGAGGATTTAGGAATATTTAGTGTTTGTGTATCCAGCTAGTGTCTGCATAATGTGAAAACATGCTGTGCCTAGGAGATACAAATATTAATTATAGTCATTTGTGAGTGATGGGATTATAGATGATTTTAAACTTTCTTCTTATAATTTTTCTGTGTCTTGCAAATGTTCAGTAATGAATATGTCTTACTCTAAGAAAAACAGTACAAAGGCTTTCCAAGTTTTTTGACTGCAACCGACAGTAAGAAGTACATTTTACATCCTGATCCAGTACAAACGTGCATTTATGTATTTATAAAATTGAAACAAGAGTTTCATGAAGCATTAGTTAACCTTTTTGCTACCTGTCCTTACCTCCTGATGTTTTCTATTTTTCTATTCTATTTTATTGAAGAAAAAGAAAGAAAGAAGAGAATGCAGGTATTGACCAACTAAAATGATTTCATGAACCACTGACAGGTAAATTGAAAAATACTGACTGTGGTGCCATGGTGTCAGTCTTTGATTTCATGGGTCAGTAAAATTTCAAAAGAAATTTTGGTGATTGATGTAAGATCATCCACTTTTTATGTTGCAGAAGAAGGATATTTTAACTTATTCTTTTATTAATTATTTTATTCTTTTTATTTTATTAATTCTGTTATTAATTTTATTGATTTATTCTTTCATTAATTTTTCATGTTAAAATTTTGTTTTTATGATTTGGGGGGAATTTTCATGTCAAAATATCCTTTCTTTTGTGATAAAATGTTTAAGCATGAAACATTAGGACGGATACAGTTTCAGGATTTAAATAGCGAATAAACTGAACTTTATGAGAACAGACTACGCTCACTTTGTTTTTTCCGTTTGGCAAAGAACCTGTGCAAACCTTGTGATGCAGTGGCTTTTAGGAATTATTGAAGAATTAGCAGTGTAGCGGAAAGAGCACTGCTTTGGAACAACACAATTCACTTCCAGCTTTGAACCCCAGCTACTTGGGGGCAAATCACTTAAGTTTTCCGAACCTGATTTTGCCCATCTGCAAAAGGGATACCTTTCAGAGGTGTAGAGATAAGATTTATAAAGAGTTTAAGACACTTTCAGATGCAGAGAAGCTTATAAACGGTAGCATCTCAGGATCATTAACTCTTTCCTGCTTTGTGATATAAAAACTTAGAATGTTGCAAGAAGTTTATTTTGTGTTTCTACTTTATGATGAACTACCCCTTTAATGATGAGTGATGTGAACAGCACTTTTTTTTTTTTTCCTCCAGTTTCCTGTCTTGGCTTACTTGCAAGCTTTACCCCTCTTACTACATTTTCTGCTATTTTTTAACCTCCTGTCAGCCTCTTCATACCACATTCGTGACAGGAACACAGGTTGTCCGCAGTTCAGTTTTAGGGTGCAATTAGAAAATATTCCTTGATAGTACAGTGAGTTTGCAGTTTTTAAGCTGCGGTTTTGGCTAGAGAGAACTTGGACCTTGAGCGGAATACTAAGAATAAGGAAAGGATATGCTTAAAATAGATCTCATACGACTTCTGTTTAATTACATGGTAATTTGCAAAACAGACTGGTTTCTGTGGCCTTGAATACTAATATAGATCTGTCCCTTAACCACAACTGATCTTAGAAGCATAAACACAGAGAAATGCATAGTTCACACATCCCCACACATTTTATACCTCCCAGGGTTCCACGTGAATCACTCTGAAAGCTTTTCTTCATTTATGTTAGAGTCATGCCTTTCTTGACAGTGGACTGTATGCTTATTTCAGTAGCAGCACCTTTATTTAAAGTCTCTTCTGCTTGGCTCAGTCAGATATTTTCAGTTTCCGATGGCAATGACCACACCCACATGACCCCCTATTTCCCCTATGGATTAGCCCTCCAGGAAAACTCCAGCTATCTGCAACTCTCAGGAAACAAGCTGGGTGTTCTGATAAGGAAGGCTCACCAAAATCGTGTCACTCTTCCTAGGATGTTTGCTGTAATAGCTAACATTTTTGTGGGCTTGCTGTGGTCCAGAAACTTTGCTACAGGCTTTATGAACATCTCGTTGAACCCTAAGAGAAAATAAATACTTCCCTGCCTTGATTTCTTGAGAGATCTTTGTAAATATCGGTTGTTAGAGTATGTTCTACCTCCGGATTTCAGGTGTGTGGGACTGTTGTTCTCATTCAGTTTGCCACTATTTATTGAGTGATATTATGTGCCAGACACTGCTCTGGGCACTGGAGACACAGAGCAATGACTAGAACAAACTCCCTGTCCTCTGCAGAGTAGGGGGACTCAGACAATAACATATAAACATGCAAAACATACAAATATAATATAATGTCAGATAGAGATTAAAAAAAAAGCAGGATGAGAGTAGGGGTGGGAGAGTGATGGGAGAAAGCCTTTGATGAGTTGACATTTGAGCAGAGACCTGAATCAATTGCAGGAGCAAGCCTTGCAGATATTTGGCAAAAATACCATTTGCTTCTGCACTAAGTGGTTCTGCCTCTTCTGCTTTTTATAGTTTTCTTGTGTCCTCCTTGCTGTCAGTGTCAGAAATGGGCTTAACTGAGCCAGACCAAGGGAAGCCAGATCTGGAAAAGAGACAGAGCTGCAAGTGTGAAATAGAGAATGCAAAGGTCTTAGCTGTAGATGGGAGCAAGTCTGGACACGTGAGTGACACAGCTCATCAGGAGAGTGTGGTGGCTATGTATGATCAGCCGAGTTTACAGGCAGATGCATCAGAGACCCAGCCAGCCCTGGGCAATGGGAGCACCCAGGCCTGGCAGAAGATGCATCCGAGAGGAGTCTGGTGGCTGACATAAGTAGAGGTACAGGCTGGATGGCGGCGTTGTCAGCCTGGGGCAGAGGGGCGGAGACCACAGATGGCACTGCTACTGGGGCTTAGTACAGAACATGGCTCTCTGGGTAGATGGAGCTGAGCAAGGCTGGGGCCCAAAAGCAGAAGCTGTGGTTTAAGAAAGAGCCTTGCTGGCAAATGTCAAGGAGGCAAGAACTGAGTGCTTACAACCAGGGCTGCAGATTGGGAATGAATCTTGCAGCAACAGGACTTAATGCTGACACCTCAGCTGGGGAGCCAGAGTCCTGTGTCCCCTCCCCATGCTCACACATGATGACCAGAAACTACATTCCACTGAATGCAATGTGCTCTCTGCCCTCTCTCTGGTACTGTCTGTTCATTTGCGTATGTTGGTTGCCTCCGCTGCCTGGGAACTCAGCAGCAAAGGGAAGCTCCCACCCAGATTCGGGCAGAGTTTCCTCTTCCAGTGCCCACAGGCCTATTACATAACCTTTGTACGCCCCTTGGTAAAGTGCTGTCAGCTTTGTTGGGAGCCAGGCTGGAAGCCAAGAGTACAGGATCTAGAGTCAGACCTCCTGGTTTGAACCCTGGCTTCCCTTGAGCAAGTTATTCAACCGCAGTTTCTTCATCTGTAAAATGGGAATAATAATAGTACCTACCTTGTAGGATTATTGTGAAGATAAAATCCACCCAACAGTGTCTGGCCCCATAAGTGTTACTGCTTTTTACATGTCTGTATTCTCTTCCTAAACTGTAAAGCCGTCCAGGCAAGTCCCCATCCTCACTGGGCTGACATTCTACTGGCGGAGACAGACCTTAAATAAGTGAACACAGAAATAAACAATATAATTTCAGATAATACTAAGTGCAAGAAAGAAAAATTAAATTAGGGTAAGGTAATCAAGCGACCTAAGGTGGGTATGGGTGTGGGTGCTATTTTAAATAGGATGGACAGAGAAGGCTTTTCCGAGGATTTGACATTTGAACAATGGTCTGATCCAAGTGACAGTCTGGAGGACAGCCGTCCAGACAGAGGGATCAGCAAGTGCTGGGATGACCTTGGTGTGTTTGAGCGAGGAGGCAAGTAAAGGTACAGCTGGGTGAGCCAGGAGGAGATGGGGTGAGGGAGAAGGAGGAGGGTGCATAGGGCAGAGTGGGCGGGGCTTTGGGGGCCTGGCCAGGAGTTTGGGATATGTCCTCCTTGCAATGGGAGCCGCTGAGAGTTGTAAGCAGGGAGTGATATAATTTATGTCTCTTTGCTGTGTGGAGAGTCCAGGTAAGAGGGGGAGCAGGGAAAAAAGTTGGGGACATTAAGAAGTCTTGGACTTCTGGGCATGCTGAGGTAAAGGGGGTGTGTTCTGATGAGTTTTAGTGATAGCCTTCTGTGATGGATTGAATAATGTCCCCTCAAAATTCACATGCACTGGAACCTTGGAATGTGACCTTATTTGGAAACAGGGTGTTTGCAGATGTAATTAGTTAAAGACCTGGAGATGAAATCATCCTGGATTAAGGTAGGCCTAAATCCAATGACTGGGGTCCTTGTGAGAAGAGGAGAGGACACTGAGAGACACAGAGAAGATGGCCATGTGAGGGTGGAGGCAGAGATTGGAGATATGCAGCCACAAGCCAAGGAACCCCTGGGGCCACCAGAAGCTGATGAGGCAAGGAAGCATTCTTCTCTAGAGGCTTCAGGGGGAGTGTGGCCCTGCTGACACCTTGATTTTGGACTTCTAGCCTTCAGAACTGTGAGAGAATAAATTTCTTTTGCTCTAAGTGACCCAGTTTGTAGTACTCTTACAGCAGCCCCAGGAAACTAATAGAGCTCCTAAGGGTCATTGGTCTCTTAGGAGGTTTGCACTGGGATGCGGGGTGGGAGGCATGGTCTTATCAGGAGCTTTGGCAGCTCTCCTGACCTCCCTTAAAGTCAGGGAGAGGCTCTTACCAGGAGCTCCGAGGAGGACTAGGAGCCCTTGATGAATGTTAATTGAATGAATGGATGAGTGAGTGAGTGAATGAATGAGTAAATGAATAGGCCTGAGATTGGGCTGTGCCTGCCCTCTAGGTCATTAAATAGCCCCAACCGTGATAATTATGACTGGCCATCTACAGTATGTGGAGCCCCCTAGTTGGGGCGGTCACCACGCCTTCTGCTGTGTGCCTTCTAAGCTCCTGCGGGTTGAGAAACCAGATTACACTAATTAAGATCTGCGTTAGAATTTGGATGAAGAGGACAAAGTTCCTGAGTGAGGGCCTAAGTGACTTTCTAATGCACAGAATGTATGGATTTTAGAATTTGGACTTTTAACATCGATTTTATGAACTCAAGTAATTTTTCCCCTCCCTTTTAAATGTTCATTAGATAGGTCAAGTTAGGAGACTGGAGAAGCAATCCGGAAGCATACTCCTCTGCCCCAGCAACCAAAAGCAGTCCTGCCGCCAGCTTATTGCTACTATTGGTTTTTGTTTAGAGTTGAAAGTGCTGAAAAGGGAGAGAAAACTCCAGGCCACAAAAATTTAAGCTTATTGTAATCCTGCCAGAGATCCACCCCCTCTGCTCCTATAAATTTCTCTCGGCCTGTCCTGCAGACAGTGTACATGGACTGCCATCAAGCTTTTTTTTTTCTTTTTTCAATTAAACTAATGGACTATACTCTTCTCCATAAAACACAGGTCCAAATGGCGATGCCCTTTTGGGCATCGGTCTCTCCCAGGAAACCTGGCCTTTTGTCTTGGTGGTACAAATTCCTGGTTGTGTCTGGACACACAGTAGGTGCTGAATGAATGCTTCTTTAATTAAAATCAGGGCTGAAATTGGTTAGGCATGCATACCTGGATGGTGTCAATTTCTGTGTCATAGTTTCTCTCCTGTGTAATTGGTGAGCCTCCTAACGTTGATTTTTTTTTTTTTAAATCAAGCACTGTATTTAGTTAATAAAAAAATACAGAATAAGATTCAAAACAGCTGTGTTTACTGTTGGTGTGGCTGTTACCCTCCTCATGCTTGTGTATGTCATAACAGTACCACATTTGCAAAAACAAAAGTTTAGAAATAAAAAGGATGACTTTTCTCCCTCCAGCTACCAGTGACAACCCACAGTCTCAGCTCTTAGTATTTATTTAATTTTGTGTCTGGTAATAGAGCTCAGAGACAATTCTGTGAAGCAGATGTGTGAAGATCTGATCGTTATGGAAGCTAATTTCTTATAGAAATAAATATATTCTGCAGCCTTGGGCAGGAGCATGACATTGCTCTTAGACATTTCCTTTTTAAGTGTGCTTGAACATATTCATGGATTGTGTGGAATATTTTGCATCCCATTTTCCATCCATTTATCACCTTTTGCCACATTTCTTGCTTATAAGTATCCCAGCCAGAGATGAATAAAGAAAGAGGATAAAGGAAAAAACAAAATGAACAAAAAAACAAAAGAAGCAAACAAACAAGTAAAACAAAAACCTCTTTCCCGGTAGGCAGTAATTTTGAGTGTAAAACTTATGAGGCCGCAGGAGACTAGTGAAAAGTTGGACTGAAATTCGAGCTGTCTGTAGGCTTGATTCAGGTCATCACAGGTCGTCTGGAGCTTAGAGCAGAGCTCAAAGTAGGGTGAGGCTGGTGAGACATGCCCCTCGGGCACAAAACTCAATCACAGTGAATAATATTTAAAAAATCATAATTAATGCAAAATACTCCCTGATGAATAAAATATCAAAATGTTGAAGGCAGGATCTGACTCTGCTCTGGCAACCTCAACCTTATTCACCTCCTTCTAATCAAAAGTAAGGTCATTGAGAGCTTGAAAGGAGAATTCTCCTTCCTCTCAGCCTGGCTTTGCTCCAGTTTGAATTCTAACTCCATTAGGACCAGCTCTGTGACCTCAGGCAAATGACTTAACCTCTCTGAGCTTCCTTTTTTAAAATGAAGATGATGCTCTTCGTTGCAAGGCTTTTGAATAGTTTAAAAATTATGCCTGTGAAGCACTGGGTGCAGAGTAGACGCCCAACAAACAATGGCTTTAAATAATTCGTAATTATTCACAGAGAATTAAGTTCTCCAGGAGACCCAAGCAAGTGCTCCCTCAGCACACAGGTCTTGTACACATCTGTCAGGGT